GATAAGTTGCAAGAACTGTTAGCCCATTACGCGAGTAATTCATGTCGAAATTTTATTTGGGTAAATTTTGATAATTAATGTAACACCCGAGATTATTTCCGCTGCAATTGTATGAACAATATGATTAGGCAAAACGTATAGGGTAGGGTGTTACACCTAAGATCACTAATTCTCACAATCAACCAACACACTATGAAGAAGAAAGGAAACTTCTCAATGCGTCAACATCCTCCATAGTGTTTCACTAACCTCCCTAGGCTGCATATCACTCTAAAGACTGGTGAGTCAAAGCATTTTGAGGAGGCAATTTGTAAGGAGAAAAGTACTTGGAGCCCTCAAATTAAAAAATTTGGACAGTGAACTAGGCTCCAAGCACACACATACAACCAAACATTCACACACACTAGTTTTGTGCCCGCCCGATGGGCGGCGAGTTACATTTGTTTGTACCTTTACTTTTATTATATGTCATTTTCCCAAAGGTATCAGACTCCTAGTTTTCATATTTATTTATTATTGTAATCTATTATCCGTGTTTCATCATATATGAGGGGCGCTTTGAATAAAAAAAAGATATGAGGGGCGCTACATTTAATCAAGGTTTTAATCACGATCAATAATAATGTCAAACAACGTTGTAACTTCATCACTGCTTGGGAAATAGTATTCATACCATCTAAGCTTTGATTGACCTGCAATTTTCAACTTCATAAGTTGTACATGGTTTAAGCTAGCGTACGCCACCTTACCGTACTCATTTCGAGTTTTGCTATTTAGACCATTAATTAACGGAGTTTGGGACATGATATTATACCATAGTCTCTAATGGACGAACCACATTCTCTAATTCTCAATCCAAATCATAAGATTCATTTAATACAAAAATAATAACCAAGGATTTTATTTGTCAAAACTAATAGGTGTGAATGAAATTGTATATTACACCTCGATTGTACGCTAGCCTTTTCTACCATTATATTAAAGTACAACCAAACTTGTTATGTTTCTATATTATCTTCAACATTTTATGAATGATATCAAATCGAAATGTTAGTTATAGAGACACTTTTTCTTCGCTTCACATTATCATCTAATATTAAATGTGACTGGTTGTAATTGGAATTGTGTGATAACTTAATACAAACATAAAGGCGCCATGTTGTGCAATTAGTACAATAGATGAATTTACAGGACATTGGTCAGGGTATGATCTTGCATTGGTTTTATAGGACACTGGTTCGTGTATGTCCCGCACTGTTATACAGGATATCGATCGGGGTATGATCCCGTAGTGGATTTACGGGACACCAGTCTAGGTACGATCCACGGTGGTGTACATTACATCTAATGTACTATCCGGGGAGTGTATGACTTGGCAAATTAAGAAGTAAAAAGCACTGAATCAACCTAACCATGCATGTGATTTAATTCTTGTGTAAAGATTACTTATGATGTGGTTAAGTGATGACTTCCTATGATGTGATATATGAAATGTGCATGTCGATGATGATCTTTATGTGATGGTTTTCTATGGTGTTTTAGACAATGATTTACCATTAGATGGTGTGATGTTTCGCTATGTTGGGACGGGGTTAAATGGTAATGCCGATATGATGTGATACTTTATGCGTACATGTTTATACAGTGAGTTATCAAGAGGCTGGGTGATGGTCTTTTTGTTGTTAATGTATGAATTATTTGAGTTTGAGATGATGAATGTGGTATGACATGTGGTGATGAATGAATGTTTATTTGACTGAATGAGATATATCATATCGGATGTATCTTGACAGTTAAGTTAAGCGAGTAAGGACTGAGAGGTGGGTGACGGGAAACTGAATACTCCATATTTTGCCATGGTGACTGAAAGGGACAATAAGTCCTTTCGAGTTGTATTTTAAAGGTAACGGAGAAGAATTATATCATTATCTTATGAGTTGGGTTATCCGGCGAGTATAAATGGTTATTAAAAGTAGAATAGTAATATATGTATTAGCGTGTCACATTAAGTAAATATTAAAATAGTTATTTACATCTCAACCATTATATATATTAAGATTCGTTTATAAATCTTTTTTAATTAAGATGCTATGCATTTGAAGATGACTAAGTTGCAAATCTACACTCTAGGAAAAAGAAAAGAATTAATGTCAAACAATAAAAAGAAAAAAATTATAATTACATAAGGAAAAAAAGTAAAGACAATGTGTTTTTATAATTGTGCATGGAAGAAAATTCAATGACGTACGAAAATTTGAGAATAGAATGAAATTGGAATCGCATAAAAGAAAAGATAATGATATCATTTAATATGCGAGAAACGTAATAAGATGACAAATACATATGTATTTGTACATTACTTTTCTTGTAACTTCTTACCAATTGAGCACGGACATATCTTAACATATAACCATAATTCGGTTTCGAAAAAGTTACAAAAAATTTGGTGACCATTGGTGCCTGGATGAAATTGTTGTGTATCACTAAATTGAATTATGTTAATATATTTCATTAATCTTAAAATATAGGAATATCTCACATGAATAAGTTATTATGACTCTGGTTTTGACTTAGAAAATCATCATTTTTACTTCAGTTATTATCTCTTAATAATCTAGTAATCACACAAAAAATGTTATTTTTCTAGTACAACGCGATAAGAGTGTATTAGCTCATATATTTATAGTAGCTATTTTCTAAAAAATTGCAACATAACTGTATTGGTTTACATATTTATAGTAGTTTGTACAAAAAAATGTTAAATATTTCGTGTTAGAATACGAAAGAAGGTAATTCTTTGCTTTTTAGTTTTTCATTTTTAAAAAAATCATATGTCAAATTATGTAAAAGTTAATAATTGGGTACCAACTAAATTCATGTTTTTTGGATTTTTTAATTATTTTTCAAAAACTTTAAAAATTATCAAACATATTATAAACTAAAAATTAAAATAGGTTATTTTTAGTTGTTAATTTCTATCGTTTCTTAAAAATAGAATACAAAATTTTAACCGTGATAGTTTTTATTGTGTAATGTACATAAGTCAACCATTAAATAAAAATATAATTTTATGTGTTGTATATTTTTTTTTTATAAAATGGGTATTAATCTTGTTGTGATTAATTCCATAAAAGATGTTTTTTCTATTGGTTAAACAACTTAAATTATTATAGTTTGAGCTCCTAGGTTGCATGATTAAATCTTAGTTTTGGTGATTGATATACATGTTTTGTTGTGATCAATAACATCAAATATACTTTATCCTACTGGCTGAACACTTAAAATGATGATAGTTTGAGCTTGGAGGTCATAAGTTCAAATCTTGATCTGATTATTATTAATACACATGTTTTTAGTTTTATTTTAATATAATTAATAACTTAAAATGTTAAAATCGTAAATGAGATGGAAAATTGTGGAGCTTTCTTTGTCCTACGTGGCAAAATCTTTCTCCACAACGGCCATAATATATGTTAAGATACATAATCGAACACCCCCACACTTAAGCACGACATTGTCCTCAATGGAGGAAAGACAAGGAGGGTAGAACGAAGTTACTAGATCAAGTGTGAATGATGGTGCACAGGGCTGGCAATGCATTCTTGGAGGAAGTGAAGAGAGCAGCCGGAACACAAAAAGCACACAAAATCTCACAAAGTTTGAGTTATTGACTCTAAAATCAATGAACAAATCTGACTGGACCAAAGAGAAATAGAGAATGAAATGCAAACCGACTGTTTGGGTTGCCTCCCAACAAGCGCTTATTTCACGTTGTGATTTAGAAGGTGGCTCCTAAGTCGCGGTCCAACCCAGAACCTCTTTGAACTTGAGGTTCTCGTCTATGAGGTGGATCCTTAAGCCACGAGCATGTGGTGCATCAAGTGGGGTAGGCTCGTGTATTTGAGTCAGATGAAGTCTCCACCCTCGAGACCTTTCCTTCTTTTCTTCTCTTGTCTCATTGCCCCAAACTAGATATGACAACATCGGTTGACCAGTATCACGTCCACCAAGAGGGAGCGATGTCGATGTGGCCTTGGTCTGGCAAAGAGACACCGCAAACAGGTCCTTGCCAAGCAATTTCTGCTTCTTAGCACTCGCATAAGGGCTTCTTTCAACTCCTTTTCCTCGGTCCGTGCGGTCACTGCACATCCTCAAACGACATTTCACTCAACGGGGGATCGTACTTGATAAGCAACAACGTACGGTCGCGAACCGATGCTCAGTTGAGCCCTAGCTTGAGCTCGGCTCGTTAATAAACGAGTCGAGCTCGTTTATTAACAAGTGGAGTTGAGTTCGAGCTCGATTTAGGCTTCTTTACTAAAATCTTGACTCATATTTTATATATTCATTTTGTATGTCATGTATGATACATGGGATTAATGTCATGATAAAAAAAAAATAGTCAAATGTTCAACATTAAATAATCCAATGTTATACTCTGTTGGTATCATATTATTTTGTTAATAAATTTTAACTACTACAAATTAAATCATGTTATTTCATAGAATCGAAGCAATCTACGATACATAGTTTCTTTTAAAATTAAAAATAAGACATATTTGCTCACATACTCAACGTGTTAAACTTCATATAGGGTGATATATATAATTTAATAATCTATGAGTTATCGAAGTCCAACTCATAAGATATAGATTGACGCTCATAAGTTGGTAATCGAGTTGTCACTCTAATCACTATGTTGAGACATCTCATGAGCTCTAAACGAGCCAGCTCACTAGTTAAACTCAACAAGCCAATGAGTCAAGCTAGCTTGCGAGCTTTACAAACCAAATAATACTTAGCTCAAACTTGACTCGTTAATAAACAATTTGAGTTTCAAACGAGATTTTCCCAATCCGAGCGAGCAGCTTGCCTCATTTATAGTACCTAGTCTAACCTCCACAAAACTAAACTGTTGGATCGGGTCCAAGAAATTGCGCACGGGCCATTTTTCTAAGATAACAGGCTTGTTGATTGTTGAATGAGAAAGAAGCTGGGGGCCTAATTAGTAATTACTAATTACAATTGGAATAATTTTTTACCCAATCATCTCTCCCGTCGTCGCAATAGACTCTCCTCTGCCGCTGAAGTTCACCGCCGGCGAAGTCAGAATCCCCACCACCACACCTGCACCATTCTCCGGCAGAAAGCAGTAAATTAGATCCTTTCCCTTTCTTAAATTATCAGTTTCTGTGTTGGGATTAAATTCCTCGTCTTGATTACGGCCAGCCATAGATTTTTTTGGTTAGTTTGTGAAATAGAAGTGAATCGGGCAACTGCAGACGCCATGCGGCTGCGTTGAGAAGCTAAGATTTCTATTGGGTAACGAAGAAATGTTCTTGCGTTATCGTCTTAGTAGCAAAGATTATTCTCCTTCGAGCCCACCTAGAGAGTTCGATCCTTTGGAAGTATAATAAACGCTGCTACATCTTTTGATTTTGATTGGGCGAACAGAATCGACCGAGTTGTCACAGTCCCAAGCAAGTTCCAGAAAGATCGGTTAAACTCCATAAGAACTAGAGTGAAATTCTATTCTTGTTGATGGGGGAGCTGGCAGCTGATAAGCATGTGAAATACATTCTGGCTGTTGAAAAGGTTTGTTTTGCTTTTGATGGGTTGTTAGAGGGTTTATGCCTCAAGCAGCTGATGATTTTTGTTTCTTTGCTCTGTTGGTTTGTTTTTAGAGAAAGGATAATTTTGAATCTGCTGTGCTGGAGCACTTGCGAATGAATGGGGCTTATTGGGGGTTGACCACCTTGGATCTGCTGGGAAAGCTTGATGCGGTAGACTCCAATGAGATTATTGAATGGATCTTGAAGTGCCAACATGAGTCTGGTTTGTGGTGAAAGCTATCTAGATTCCATTTTGTTGACTCTGCCTGATCTAGTTCTAGCCAAATGGTGGGGAAAATATGGATGATGATGATGCTCTTTGATTTTGCTTGCAGGTGGATTTGCTGGTAATGTTGGGCATGATCCACATATACTGTATACCCTAAGTGCCATACAAGTTTTGGCCCTTTTTGACAAACTTAATGTTCTTGATGTTGACAAAGTGTCGACTTGTATCCTTGATGAGGTTTGAGACATTTTCATCTGCTCATATTTTCAAAAATCATAACTAGCTCATAAGAATGCCAATGGGGGGACATTTTGCTGTTTAGACCATAGTCCTTACAACTAATGGTGTTTGGCAACTGAAATCGGAAACTGGAAAGTTCCAATTAATTCAGTTTTTTTGTTCAACTTAATGTTTAAGTCAGATATTGCAGGACTGCAAAACGAGGACGGATCCTTTTCTGGTGACATCTGGGGAGAAGTGGATACCCGGTACTGCTCCACCTTTCCTTTCCTTTCCTTTTTCCAGCAAATGATCTCAAGGCTACTGGTTTCTACATTTGTCTCCTGACTCAGTCAATCTCTCATTTTCCAGGTTCTCCTATATTGCCATATGTGGTCTCTCCATATTGAAATGCTTGGACAAGATTAATGTGGAGAGAGCTGTGAACTACATCATAAGTTGCAGAAATGTAGATGGTGGATTTGGATGTACACCTGGTGGCGAGTCTCATGCTGGACAGAGTATGTTCTAATTCAGCCCACGGTTGTGTACAAATCTCAGTTGGAGTAATTGCGATACGGATTTTCTCGTTGTTTTTCTAACATTAAATTAGAATTGAGAAGTTTCTCCCTGGCTCTATGTTTGAAGTATTCTGTTGTGTGGCTGCCCTTGCCATTACGGGGGCTCTACACTATGTTGACAAGGACCTCCTTGGATGGTGGCTGTGTGAGCGACAAGTGAAATCCGGTGGCCTGAATGGCAGACCCGAGAAGCTTCCAGATGTGAGCATTTTTTTTATCTCACATATAGTAATATAGTTTCTGGCTTAATGAAGGTTGACACATTATGCTAAACCAATGCAGGTTTGCTATTCATGGTGGGTTCTTTCTAGCTTAACCATGATTGACAGAGTTCATTGGATTAGCAAAGAGAAGCTTATCAAGTTCATTTTGAACTGTCAGGTTATGATTGGAAAATTCTAAAAAGAGCCCTTCCCAGTATAGATTTCCATTTTCTTAAAGAAAAATGACAGCTTTTTACAGTATTGTAATGGAAACATTGTAGGACACGGAGAATGGAGGGATCTCGGATAGACCAGATGATGCTGTTGATATCTTCCATACATATTTTGGAGTTGCTGGTAAATGACGGGACACTGCAATTTTTATTTGGCTCTTGTTTTTCATCTGAATGCTATGAATTTTTTGTGGTGTTGTTCCAGGACTGTCTCTCCTTGAATATCCAGGAGTGAAAGCTGTAGATCCAGCTTATGCCTTGCCGGTTGATGTCGTTGATCGAATTTTCTTCGGCAAGTAATTTACATGCAGTGCAAGTTAACCATAGGAAACGGTACAGCTTTCAATCTTTCTGCAGCTCCGTTTGTCTTGAACTCTTCCAATAGCAGCTTTCCTCGAGGGGTCTTTGCACATATTCCACACAGGGCGACTGTGGGTATCTTGGACTATGGGCCATTTTTCCTCTGTGCAGATGCTGTCGTGTTACCTTGGTATCCTTGGAAAAACATTTTTGAACTTTGTTGACATTGACGATTCGTGTGCTTTAAGAACACAATAGTAGTAACTAGTAAGATGTTTATCGAACATGGAGAAGGTGGTGTCATGGGAACCCGCAAATGTTGGTCCCTCTCCTCAAACCCTGGTCCAACCTCAGAAAGCAAATTTGCCTGTTCTTGGACCAACGCTTGGCAACCAAGTTTCACTGTCTTCAAGGTTATTGTCATCATGGTCATGGATTATGTCTCAATCAAATCAACCCTTCAATATGATCGTTTATAAGAATGAGAGACTCCGAAGCATAGACCAGGAAACCGGATCGTACCGGCCGGTTCAACCGGAAATTGGACCAAACGCGGTACGGTAGGCTGATTGTGCTGATTTTACCGTACCGGCCGATTTTTTCGGTTCGACCGGTACAAAAAGAAAAACCGCCCGGTTTTGGTTTAACCGGCGGTAGCCTTATTGAAAGAATACGTCACCGTTTTAAGCACTAAAATTAAAAAAAAAAATATCGGCATTCAACCGCGCAAAAACACAAAACCTAATCCAAAATGTATTTTCCTTCTTCCCGTGTTCCCCATCCCCGCCGCTCCTCTTCTCCACTCCCTCTGGTGACTGGCGGCCCGCGCATCGGCGCGAGGAAAGAAGCAACCCGCGACGGCGAAAGGTCGAGCCGATCCCCGCTCCGCTCCTCCGCCGTTCCTCTTCTCTTCTTATTTGGCGACCCACGACCGGCGAGTCGAGTCGTCCCTGCTCCGCTCCGCCGCTCCTTCCTCTCCTCCTCAGCCGCTCCGACCGTGCTCGAGTCTCCCAAAGCCAGCGATAGTCAATTAATTATTAGTATAATAAAGCCGCGAGTATACTTAAGGGGACAGCAAAGAATAAGATTGACAAGTTTTCAAAAAACAGAGATGGCAGAAAATCGATATTCACTTAGCTCTGCAATTGGGCTTGAAACCCTTCTCTGATGCCCCAAAATTACACATGCAAAGAAGAAAAAACTAGAACTGATCTTTGTGAATATCGATTTTTGAAATAGCTTTCGTTGATCATTTGACCGAGACTAATAGCTAAGTGAAAGGGGAATACTCGGAATTTTGGCTGGAAGTGGCGAGAGGCTTATTCCCTCTGCTCCATTCACCTTATTCTTCTTCTGGGTATGTAATGCAAGAGCGGGTAGGTGGGGTTATTAGACTGATAGAGAGCAGGCAAATGAGCTGGAGTCAAGAAATACAAGGGAAGTCAAGAGGTTGAGGTGTATTTCTTGCATGTAACTAAGATGCCACGTGTATAACCAAAAAAAAATTGTGCATACTACCTACTAACTAAGTGAACTTGCTTTTTGTTACTCAATATTCAAATTATTCTTTTAATTTTTCTCATCTTGACATAGGCACCATCGATATTTTTTTTTTTGGATGAAATGATGAATGAATTTTTTTTGACAAGAAATGATGAATGAATTTAGTTTGTGTTGATGCCATAGAACTTTGTACCTCCTTTCCAAGTTAGCTAAAAAAAATTATGCTTACCTCATTAATTAATGAGATTTTGATATTTACTATAAAAGTTATTCCAAAAAAATTCCCGAGCAAAGCGCGGGCTAATTAACTAGTCTGATTAATTAGGTAAGGAATGACTATTGCTCTATGTTGAAAATGGGTCTCCGTGGTTGTAGAATGCTCTATTTGGTTCTTGGTTGGTCCTGAATGAGATGAATTACATCTCTCTAATCTGTTCCTCTTTTTGGTGGCAATATTTGGTGAAGGCAAAAATATGGCTTTTTTGAACGATAATGTAGTTTATTCAGTATGTTACACTTTGTTGATTGTTACAGTATATTCCTCTTTTTGATACTTTATTATTTTATATCCGGTATATTCGATATTATTCCGGTTTTACTTCGGAACGGTACTCTGATTTTGCCGACACGGTTTTTTGACAAAAAATATATTTTATTATTACAAAAACGGTATTTACCGGTACAAAACGGTTGAACCACGGTCGTACCACAAAATACCATACCAGAAAAGAATCCGGTATGATATCCGGTACGGTTTCCTTTACCATGCTCCGAAGTTGGAATTGTGAGAAATGTATTAAGTGCGGAATAAAAAGTGATACGCTAGTGCCAAATAAACAGTGAAATATAAACTCGTGATATTGTATTTTTTGAAGCACATCCCTGACCCTAATGTCATTCACTAAGTTGAATTGTGCACATCATCAGCTCCATAATAAGGTAACAAGATTTGATCACATGACTCCTAATCCCAAAAACAAATACCCAGCTAGTATGTGATAATTATCGTCTCACCAACTAAAACATATTGATCCACCCAATCGAACGAAGACCCATACGAAGCTTGATGAATTGGGTTTTTGTAATGTTGCTATGATCCGATCGATATTACTCGAATTGTGTTGAACTGAACTATTAGTAATCTGAAACTGGATCACTTAAAATAATGATCAAGTTGGTTCGTACTTCATACAAAACAATAACATGATCAAGTGATGGCAAGTGGTGGAGAGGTGGAAAAGGGGAAGGGGAAGGAACAGATTTGAAAGACAGGGAGAGTCAAAATTTAGTAATTTACAAAGCACGGAAGAAGAAAGCAAACAGAAAAGTTCCAAATTCCCAGTTCGATGCCGATCTACTACTAGTTCCCCCACTTCCCATCAGTGGGTTGTTTCCAGGTTGGATGTCATTTGACATGAGAAGGCAAGAACCAACTCAAATTAAAAACAAAAAAAGTAAAAGCAAAGCATCACCAAAACCTAGATTCAGCAAAACAATGTTACAGTCACGTTCACGTGTGGGTTGGGTTGGTATGCGTGTGACATTGTGAGCAAGCAGCTAAGCTAACCCCGCTGACAGCCGCCATCTTAAAGTTCCCCCACCACCGTCACCGCCGTGGCCACCACCACCACCGGCCGCTACTAATCAGAGATCAGTTTATTTTAAACACATTTCACGTGCTGATGGTTTCGTTTCTTCTTATTACCACTTCTCTTGCTCTGTTGCTTATAATTCATTGGCCTAATACTACGGTACAATCTCAACTATAGAAAAATGTCACTTTTATCATTGAATATTTAATATGACAATTTTAGTAGAAACTTTAGTCTTTCTTAACTTTAACAAGTTAGTGGTCAACCACTTGATTTCTAAGGTACTGGCTGATGTTGATTGTTTTACATTAAACAATTAATAAATAATAAAAAATTTGGATTAATATATTTGTATGCCCTGAACTTTTCACATAATAAACATCCTGACAAATGTTTTCGATCTATAACATCATGGCCTAACTATACACCAAAGTAACAAAATTGGCCAAACCCAAAAATTGATCGTTATCTTGGACGGTCAAACGCGTTAACAGTCAACGCGGCACGTCACCGCCAAGTCAACACCTTTCGCTTAAAAAAATTATATTTTCCACCTATTATAATTTATATTTTTCATTTGAATCCAAAAAAAAAATTGACAAATGAATTTTGGGCCCAGAAATTCATTTTTCAATTTTTTTTTTGATTCAAAATGAAAAAAAATAAATAATAATAATAGGTGAAAAATATTTTTTTTAAGTGAAAGGTGCTGACTTGGCGGTGACATGGCACGTTGACCGTTAGTCAACGCGTACGACCGTCCAAAATAACGGTCAATTTTTGGGTTTGGCCAATTCCGTTACTTTGGTGTATAGTTCAGACCATGATGTTATAGATCGAAAAGATTGGCCAGGATATTTATTATTTGAAAAGTTCAGGCCATACAAATATATTAACCTTAAATTTTTTTTATTGGACGTTCGTGGAACAGGGGAGGATTTAGATCGGGTTAGAGATAAGGCTTCCGGTTAGGAATGGGGCACACAGAGGGTGAGTTGCGGTGTATCTAGTGGGGTTTTGACTGAGACGATACTCGACATGACGGCTACGACGGCGAATCTAAGAGGAATTTTGTGGAGAATAGGAGTCGCCTAACAAACCGCGTGCCAGTTCCCTAGAAGAAATGGGTTTCGGTGATGAAGAAGTGGGAGAAAAGAGGGAGAAGCCGGGGAAAAGGGAGAGGTTCAGTTTAAGTGGAGTTTGGATACTTGAGTCTGAGATTGTTCAGTTTCGCCGAAGGAGAAGAAGAGGAAGAAGCAACCGAAGGAAATATGTTTTTGCAAACCACCGTCTAGTTAATTTTTATCTCTAACGGTCAACAAAATTGTCATAACACAAAAAATTTGTACTAAAATTGTCATGTTAAATAATTAATGACTGAAATAACATTTTTAGATAATTCGGGTTTTATATTGATATTAAACCTAATTCATTTACCAGATGAGACTCTAATTTTTTTCAACAAACTCCCTCCACCAGAGCTCTCTCTCTCTCAATCAAATAGGCACAATGCAAACTTCCAAACTTCAAGCATAACAATTATGAAACCCTTCTTTAAATGGCCCCCTCGGCAATTAGTAGTGCTTTCTTAGTCTTTTCATTCAAAACTGTTCTAGGTCGTTACATCACAAATTCAATATAGACTAGAATTGTTGCCACGCTTTACTACGGTTAGGAGTCTAAACTTCAGCCCGTCGATTCCGCTTATAGATAGTTGGATTGAAAAATAATTATCTTGTGATTTATTTGCCATTGATTTTGTCTTTTTTCTAATACTTAATTTTGTATGAAATCTATTAAAATATAATTAAAAATATTTGCTTCCATAATTTAAATGTGTATGAGTTGGGTATGGATACCCATTTATTGGAGAGTGTTTGAAATATACATACAAAAATTAGACCTATTTGCAGAGCTTCAAAAGTTTAGGTACCAAAATGTAATGCACAAAATATTAGTACTAAAATATAATTTTTCATCAATATTTGAGGACTTATGTGCCAAATAAATAAATTTAGGTGATAAATCTAAAGATCTATTGAGTTTAAGTACAGAACTATAATTTGCATAGTTGAGACTTAATTCCTTTTATGGTGATGTATTTAAGATGATAATTATTTACTTTTCTATAGAAAAATGGGAACTATTTATTTGATATGTGTAGATACTTAACCAAGCATTCCATGTATAATTGTTGAAAATTATAGCCCGGGCCTGGTGAAAAAGAAAAACTCTAGAGCGAAGCAAAAGGAATACAAACTGGAACTCTCTTAAAATTTCACGCCTTCAAATCCCATAGTAGAAAATGATGACTTTCTAATAAGTAATAACCAAATATATTTATGTTTAATTGGACTCAACATTGAGTTGAAAAAGTTAGTGGTTCATGGTTCA